TAAACATTGTACTCTGAACATAATTTAACCTTTTTTGTTACTCAAAGTTATCAATTACTGAGACAAGTTAGGCCCTTTACTTAATCTAATAGGATATTTAAAAATATGTCTGCATCTTATTTTTCATTTACCCTCCTCCAAACCCTTTTTCTTCTCTGCCCTGAGTTTCCAGGCAAACTGAAATGGCTATCTATTTTTGTTAATATTGGTACTGTGGCTTATTTATTATTGATAAATAATATTAGAAAAAACGAATAGATGCTGTCTGCTGAAATTTTCTGTCATTTTTCAGTACATTTTTATTTGAAATTTATATTTTAGCTATTTTATAATATATAATTAATTCATGGATTGAGTTAGCTATCTTTTAATTTTTAATTTTGTGGGTATATAGTAGGTGTGTGTATTTATGGGGTATAGAAGATATTTTTATACAGGTGTACAGTGTGTAATAATCACATCAAGGTAAATCCTCAAGCATTTATCCTTTTTTTTTTTTTTTTTTTTTTGAGACACAGTCATGCTCTGTCACCCAGGCTGGACTGCAGTGGCTGGATCTCTACTCACTGCAACCTCCGCCTCCTGAGTTCAGGCGATTCTCCTGCCTTAGCCTCCCAAGTAGCTGGGACTACAGACATGTGCCACCATGCCCGGCTAAGCATTTATCCTTTGTGTTGCAATAATTTTCTAGTCATTTTCAGATGTACAATTAAATTAATATTGACTACAGTCACCCAGCCATCTTACTTTTTTACTTCAACGTTGATTCCTACCATTTATTACTTTATTTCAACATTTTTATAATGTTATGTTATTTTCCTTTATTACTTTATGACATGATGTTAACTATGAATTTAATGAACTTTTTTCACTGTTTTTAATGCCACTAATATTTCAGTAAAATAAAATCAAGCCCAGATTAGGTCTTAACATATTCATTTTCCCATAAAAATTAACTTTCATTATTTATTGTTTATTTTTGTAGTTATTAGTACATAGCAAATAACATTTATTTTTATTCTTAACCCAATTTGAACTTATTTTTTTAGGAAGATGTTTTTAGATAACCTTCTCATTAACTTTTCTGAGGTTCATATGTATTGCATTTTCTCTAATCAACTGGTTCCACAAAATTAGAGTCATTTTTTAATTTAGCATGAGTAATATTTAATAAATGAGGAATGTGACTAGTGTATGATGATATTGTCAGTTTTGACATATTTCTTTTTATAGATTAAAAGTGAATTCCTAAATAATTGACAGACTGTGAACTTTTGAGAGTATTCTACATATAGATTCATTTAAGAAATTTGGAGCCATTACTAAGTCTACTGGAAGACAAAAGAACAGACAAGTAATTCAATAATAACCTGTTATTATTGGTTGTTATAACTAATGATTGAATATATTATTGAATACTCAGTTAATTCATGCTACTGAATAACAGTGAAGTTATTCAATAATATATTTAGTTATATTGGGAAAACAAGGGACATCCCTATCCAATAAAAATGTCAGAAACTAAATATATTTCATCTTGCCATACTACTACCCTTGAGTTCATGGTGATATTGCATGATAGGAAAAGTTTTCTGTCACTATCTTTAATGTATAAACAATTTATGCAGATTCTACCCTAGAGAAGAAAACCATATGGTTTAGACCCAGGAAACTCTACCTTGACATAGGGTGGTTGGTTTTTAGAGTAAAAATCACCTGTGTAAATATTCTTTAAATATATAAAAATTAATTTATAAATAATAAATACTTTAAAAGAATTGATGATTTTCTGTTTCTTATTCGTTATAGTCCTGGTTTTTCTCCTTTATTGCCTAACACGATTTAAACAGCAAATTTTACTTTTGTTAACATTCCATGTCTTTTTCTTAGAATAACTAATTGATTTTGCTGTCTCAGTTGATTCACATTCTTGTTTTTATTTCTGCAGATAATACCCAGCCTAATCGCAGAATTCGGTGGCCTTCCTTTATGTTTTAACTTTTGAAAACTAACTACTCAACGCATTAGGGCTCAATTTTTAGTCAATTGTGGCATTTTGGCAACTGGCAGAGGATGTGATTAATTAGCGTTTTGTTTTCTTTTTGCTTATTTTCTTTTTCATTTTATGTAATGATTTAGTAACCAGTACGTAAGTTAATTTTTACTTTTCTTAAAAAAATAAAAAACTTTCACAAAGGCTTCCTTTCTTTCTCCTTTTTAGTATGTACAAGACCCGTCTTAAAAGAGTGTACGTTCTGAATCTGAGTAGAGAAATTCCATCATTGTTTAATTAACATTTCCAAAAATTACCTAGTTGAGATTTGGAATTCTTTCTAATGGTTATTCTAAAGTGATAGCTATGGGTCAACACATGAATTGACTGATTAATCCAAGTACTTGTTCAACCGAGGGTATCCTAATAATCTGCAAAAATTTTGTCTCAAACTGTTGATGGATATGCTTTTGATTCCATATTTTGAAAGTAGAAATAATTTTCCCTTTGTTACAAATAAGTGGTGGCATTATTTATTTTACTTCTACCATAATTTTATGTGTCATTATTTAACTGTAGAACATAGTATTTTAATATACTAATCTGAATTTCAATACAAGAGTCTTTATTTTCTAATTCTGATGTTGTCTTCAAATTGATTATAGTGTTGTCACATTAAAAAAGGATATAGAGCATCACACTTTAATTATTTACAATACTAAGCAAGGGATTTGTTCATCTTATTTTTTATAAAAATCTCCAACTGAATTTATCTGTGGTCCTTAATGGTAGTAATCAAGTTTGCCAAGTACAAATGCTTCTTATCTGCTCTTTGTTTCCTAATCCGTATTTTAATAAACTTTGAAACACCCTTTTGTGTATATTTGTGATAAACAAACTCACAGTGTTAATATTAACAACATAGAAAATTTAGGATTTTTCATATATTCTTTTTTAAAGAATGTATTATATTTAGTTTCACTGTGTTCATTACATCTAGAAATTTTAGTGATGCACGTTATTGTTCTTCCAATTTGTTAAACAGTTAAGGTTGATCATTGAGGTTTATATATAGCACTTTAATTGATTACCTAAGATATATAATCAAAGCAAGGTGCAAATTAGATTCCCTTTCAGAGCTTTATTAAACTTCTGAAATTAGTCTTTTTCTATTAAATTGCCAGCTGATTCAAGTAGATTGTTAAGTAAGAAGCCAAATTTTGTTTTTTTGAGACAATCTTGCTCTGTTACTTAGGCTAGAGTGAAGTGGTGCAATCTTAGCTCACTGCAACTGCAGCCTCCTGAGTTCAAGCAATTCTCCTGCCTCAGCCTCTTGAGTAGCTGGAATTATAGGCACTCACCACCACACCTGGCTAATCTTTGTATTTGTAGTTTTCTTTTTCTTTTCTTTCTTTTTTTTTTTTTGAAACAGGGTCTCACTCTGTCACAGCCTAGGCTGGAGTGCAGTGGTGCAATCTCAGCTCACTGCAACCTTTGCCCCCTGGCTTAAGCAATTTCTCCTGCCTCAGCCTCCCAAGTAGCTAGGATTACAGGCATGAGCCACCACACCTGGCCTAATTTTTGTATTTTTGGTAGAGTTGGGTTTCACCATGTTGGCCAGGCTGGTCTTGAACCCCTGACGTCAAGTGATCTTGGCCTCCCAAAGTGCTAGGATTACAGGCGTGAGCCACTGTGCTCAGGCCCAAATTCTGTTTTAGATAAATTTATTCTACATACTATTTAGCAGGGTAGAAAGCACTATGTTTATACTGCCTTGGAATTGTCATTAAAGGTAAGTCAGGGAACAAGATACTCCAGAAATGATTTAAAAGTTTAAGAATAAAATCATGGAAGTGTTTTTCATGGTTTTATCTTTTGTTTCTCCTGATGAGAAAATGGCCAAAAATTAGGCAAAGCTCTCTAAGATTTTTTTTTCCAGAGTTTAATCATTATAGTAGTTATTCTCAAAACACAACCCGAGAACCATCCACATAAGAATCATTTTAGGGACTGCCTGCCTGCCTGCCTGTCTGCCTGCCTGCCTACCTTCCTCCCTTCCTCTCTCCCTCCCTCCCTCTCTTCCTTTCTCCCTGTTTCTTTGTTTCTTCATTATTTTTAGAGACGAAGTCTTGCTCTTTCAGGCTGAAGTGCGGTGTCCTGGCCTCAAGCAATCCTCCTACCTCAGCCTCCCCACTAGCTAGGACTACAGGCACACATCAGCACATCAGTGAATTTTTTTATTTTTTGCGGAAATGGAGTCTCACTCTATTGCCCAGGCTGATTTCAGAACTCCTGGCCTCAGATAATCCTCACTTCTCAGCCTCCCAAACAGATTTTTATTTTAAAAGTCCATTTCTATTGAATCAGAATTTGAGTTGTTGCCCTGAAGTCTGAATTTTTAACTAGTATCTAAATGATACCTAAGTATAATAGACTGTAAAGACTTAGAGCATAACTAGGAGATTGGACTTTTTCCCTCCATTTCTTTTCGTCCTTTCCTTTTCTTTCTTTCTCCCACCCCCAAGCATTTACAGTTATGTTCTTCATGCTGTGTTGGTCTCTCAATTTTATGAAATTGCTGAGGCACTGATCCTATGATACAAGTGGAGAAAATGACTAGAATCTTGATTCAGTTTGTTAATTTGGTTTTAATTTTACAAAACAGATTTAAAAGGTACAAAAATTATGGAAAATTTACTTTGAACTGTTCAGGATTATCAGTCTATATTATGCTGTCCTGACCTTTTATTTATTCATATTTTACCTGAGGAATGGTACTGCTTAAATGAATAATACATATGCATGTGAGCAGTTCCCATTATAGTTAAGTATCTCATTTTTTACTGTCTTGTGACTCTTTAAGATTAAATCTGAGCTGGGCGAGGTGATGCATGCCTATAGTTCCAGCTACTTGGGAGGCTGAGGCAGAAAGATCGCTTGAGCCAGGAGTGTGAGATTTCAGTGAGCTATGATCATGCCACTGCACTTCAGCCTGGGCAACAGTGCAAGATCCTGTCTGAAATAAATGAATAAGTATTTAGAAATGTTTCTTCTTTTGGCATTATCTGCTATAGATTACTATCGTTTCTTTTTGTCTACTGTTTTTGAAGGATAGAACAGCCTGTAGAGCTGTAACTTTTTGTTTTTTAGCTTTTTATTTGTAAGTTATTTTATACTTACAGAAGAGTTTCAAGAACATGAATAATACGAAGAGCACCCATATATCCTTTACTCAGATTTATCAGGTGATGACATTTTATTCCATTTCTGTAACTTTGAATAAAACTTTACTAGAGACTGGAGGAGGATAAAAATACCACATTAAAAGCATAACATTTAACTGCCACTAGAAATGGCTACTCTTAAAGCACATTTGCTCAAGTGGGGCACAGTGGCATGCACCTGTAATCCTAGGTACTCCGGAGGCTGAAACCAGAGGGTTGGTTGGCCCAGGAATTTGAAGCCAGCCTGAGTAACATAGAAAGGCCCATGTCTAGGAAAAAAAAATAAAGAAAAAGGGGCATATATTTGCTTATATCCAGCCTCTCAGACCATTCTAGAGCCTTCTCCCTGATTTGCTTTTTCTAGTCCCAATGTGGGCATCTCCAAGCCACGCTTTGGACTACAGCGCTATTTGAGTTCTGCCACCGTCCCCAACTCAGTGCCTTGCCTTTAGATAAATAAGTTTTTTTTCTCTCATCCTGCTGCTCTCTAAGGCCCATCTCCTTTCTACCTTCCCCTGATCCCAGTGCATTCCCTTCAGGATAAAGCCTGCTCCTGCACACAAGGACCAGCCAACCATCAGGAAAGTGTGACAGCACAGTTCCCAAAGCGTGGACTCTTCTGTCTTGAGTAAGGAGAAGATCAGGGCTGTATGCATACCCATATGGTTTGTTCTCTGTTCCTTGTCTCTTATGAGAAAAGAAGACAAGATTGAAATATACACACACTATTCTAAGAACAAATAATCTTCACATGTACCATCTAAAATACTCTATTGGAAAGAACACCAACAATCTACAAAAACAAGGAAATAGTTCTGCTAAATATATACCCCCTTAACAGTAATAAATAACAGAACATAGTATTTCAGTATGCTATTTATTTATTTATATTTTGAAGACAGGGAAACATACTAGTCATCAACCCACCAATGTATAAATGTAACTTCGCATGAATTATTCTAAGATTGCTTTTTTTGTTGTTAATAGGAGCAGTTAAAATACATAAAATAAGGCTTCCTCAATGGAAACTTGCTAGAAGTCCAAAATCTGCTCTTTTCTCTTTTCTTTAGTTTTGCTCAGCATTTAAAATTGATTTTTAAACTCATTGTTTTCTGTTTCTGCATTTTTTTTAATCTTTGTATAGTCTGGTAAACAGGGTCTGTCTTTAGTCCTTCTTTCCCATTGTTTGCCTTAGTAACTACTAAAAAGGAAGAATTATTGAGGTATAATTCACACTTGTAAGTAAATTCACCCATTTTTAGTGTACAATTCTATGAGTTCTCAAGAATCCATACAGTTATGTAACAGCCACTAACATCAAGGTATGGACCAACTCCATTCCCAAAAGTTCTCATGCTATTTCTCTCCCCCACCTCCAGCCCCTGGCAACCAATGATCTGCTATGGCTCCCTTTTGTTTTACCTTTTCCAGAATAAGACATATAAATGAAATAATATAGTATATAGATTTTGAATCTGGCTTCTTTCCCTTACCAAAATGCATTTTAGATCTATGCATGTTGTATAGAGCATGAGTGAGTTCTTTTTTTTATTGCCGAATAGTATTCCATTGTATGAATATGATGTCATTTGATTATTCATGCATGGGTGAATCACATTTTTGCTGTATCCAGTTTCTGGATATTTTGAACAAAAACACTATAAATATTCACTAAGTGAGTACTTTTTAAATTAGAACAGCTTAAAAGTCAGGCAGTGTGACAGTGTGGATACAAGTCAAGTGGGAAGACACCTGAGACCTGGATCTCATACTAGTTTTGCATCAGCTAACTGTGATTTAAATAATTTAACTTCTCTATGTCTGTTTTGTAAAACGTGCATTATTCAGGGCTTATTCTAGTTTTGAAATAGCATTGTTTTGTGCTGTTAAGACATTTACTATTGTCTAAGAGGAGACACTATAAACGGTTACATATATTTTATAAAACTAATTATATGAAATCAACTAATATTTAACCTTAAGAGTTATTTTGTCTCTTTAAGTTCAATCATGAGTAGTTTGAATATAATATGATTTGCTTAATGAATTTTACAGGTCCTTACAACCCCAAACTTTTTATTAACTATGTAATTCAAGTGATTTTACTTTGGAAAATTATTTTGATAATAATACTTTTTTTGTTAGACAGTCTTGCTTTGTCACCCAGGCTGGAGTGTAGTGGTTCAGTCTCCGCTCAAGGTAACCTCAACTCCCTGGGTTCAAGCAATCTTCCTGCCTCAGCCTCGTGAGTAGCTGGAACTACAGGTGCATGCCAGCACACCCAGCTAATTTTTTGTACTTTTTTTTTTTTTTATAGAGACAGGGTTTCATCATGTTGGCCAGGCTGGTCTTGAACTCCTGGGCTCAAGCAATCCACCTATGTCAGCCTCCCAAAGTGCTGGGATTACCACCATGAGCCATTGCACCCAGCTAATAATACTCTTAAATATTTGATAAATTTTTATTTTAAAATATTTTAGTCTTTATTATTAATTGGCATTTATTTATTTTTTAACTTAGATGGGTCTAGGAAAGACAATCCAGGCAATTGCAGTTGCTTACTTCTATAAAGAGGAATGGCCTCTGTTAATAGTGGTCCCTTCATCTCTGAGGTACCCTTGGACAGAAGAAGTCGAGAAATGGATCCCAGAGCTAAGTCCAGAAGAAATCCATGTTATTCAGAATAAAGCTGATGTTAGGTAAGAACAATTTTTTGATCTTTAAGAAAAAAAGTCTTCCTTGTACGTACCTGGTATATATCCATGTTTTAGAATGCAATATCACCTATAGATTATAATTTAGAACTAAGTAGAGTAAGTAGTGTGGAGAATTTATTTTATATTTTAAAATATGAGTCATCTAAAACCCAACAGTATATTTTATTTCTAAGTTACTTTATGGTGTATTTTTAAAGTAAATGTAAAATATGTATACTTTTAAAGATATGTGTAATATATCTATTTTATAAGTACCTTAAATATATTTGAAACTATCTTAAGGTTCAAGAATAAATCTCACAACTTTTCATTGATTAACTTGAAGCTTTGTGACCTTTTATTATCAGCAACTATAGTAGATTTTGCTTTCAAATTTGTTAATTAATATGCAAGTTTTGTGTATAAACTAACTAGTTTGATTTTCCTTATTATAATTTTAATATTTTCTATGTTGAAAGTATTTGCCTTGTGTTTATTTGAAACTCTCACTCTAAAAATATGTTACAGTGTATTGTTTTTCCTCATTTTGCTTTCTAGCCATTAGAATAAGACAATCAATTTGAATATTGATAAGTTGTTACATGGAATGGTAAGATGATTCATACAAATTATGTTTCTGGAGGTTCAGAGTTATCTATTTCTGAGCCTTAAATAAAAAGCCCTACAGCTACTGAAATAAATATCTGTTAATACTTAGATTTTTAAATTTTGGTATTATTGTACTGTATTGTATTCTCTGAAACTGTTAACATAAAAGTTATTTGTAAAAATAAAGTTGTCTTATGAATGTGGAAGAAAAAACAAAATGTATGGAGGGCCTTTTCACTTTCAACCTTGAAATGCTGATTCAGTGGAATATGTCTTTATGAGCCCAAGAAAATCTGTACACTATTTACGTGGTTAAAATAGAAAAACTTCTATCTTATCCTAATGATTATAAATAAAGCTGCTTTCCAATAAAACTGCATAAAGTTAAAAAGACTTACAAATTTGGAGAATGTAGATTTTTTTTGGGGGGGGCGCTATTGTAAATAGTATTCTTTTTTTTTTATTATTATTGTACTTTTAGGTTCTGGGGTATATGTGCAGATCATGCAGGATTGTTGCATAGGTACATACATGGCAAGGTGGTTTGCTGCCTTCATCCCCCCATCACCTATATCTGGTATTTCTCCCCATGTTATCCCTCCCCATGCCCCACCATCCCTCCCCTAGTCCCCCAGCAACTGACCTCAGTGTGTGATGCTCCCCTCTCTGTGTCCACGTATTCTCATTGTTCAACATCTTCCTGTGAGTGAGAACATGTGGTGTTTGGTTTTCTGGTCTTGTGTCAGTTTGCTGAGAATGATGGTTTTCAGATTCATCCGTGTCCCTATGAAGGACACGAACTCATCGTTTTTATGGCTGCATAGTATTCCATGGTGTATATGTGCCACATTTGCTTTATCCAGTCTATCATTGATGGACATTTGGGTTGGTTCCAAGTCTTTGCTATTGTAAATAGTGCTGCAGTGAACATACATGTGCATGTGTCTTTATAATAGAGCAATTTATAATTTTTTGGATATATACCCAGTGATGGGATTTCTGAGTCAAATGGTATTTATATTTCTAGGTCCTTGAGGAATCGCCACATTGTCTTCCGCAATGGTTGCACTAATTTACACTCCCACCATCAGTGTAAAAGTGTTCCTATTTCCCCACATCCTCTCCAGCATCTGTTGTCTCCTGATTTTTTAATGAGAATGTAGAATTTTTTAAGGCCCCCATAACCATCATCTGTTAGATATACCTTAATTTATTTTATTTAATTTTTTTCTTGTTTTTTTCTTTTTTTGTTGTTGTTGTTTTTGAGACAGAGTCTCACTCTGTCACCCAGGCTGGAAAGCAGTGGCACCATGTCAGCTCACTGCAATCTCCACCTCCTGGGTTCAAGGGATTCTCCTACCTCAACTTCCCTAATAGCTGGGATTACATGCACTACCACCTGTAATCCCAGCTACTAGGGAGGCTGAGGTAGGAGGCTGACTTTTTTTATTTTTAGTAGAGATGGGGTTTCACCATATTGGTCAGGCTGATCTCAAACTCCTGACCCCAGGTGATCCACTCATCTCGACCTCCCCAAGTTCTGGCATTACAGGCGTGAGCCACCACACCTGGCTGATATACCCTATTTAAATGTTTACATTAAAAAAGAAAAAAAAATTAAATGTTTACATTTAAATTTTCTTAAAATGACTATTCTATCATCTTTTTTTCTATTTTTTTTTTTTTTTTGGGATGGAGTCTCTCTTGCCAGGCTGGAGTGTAGTGGCCGAGCCTGGCTTACTGCAGCCTCTGCCTCCCAGGTTCAAGCGATTCTTTCATCTCAGCCGCTTAAGTGGCTGAGATTACAGACGCGTCCTATGACGCCCAACTAATTTTTGTATTTTTAGTAGAGATGGGGTTTCACCATGTTGGCCGGGATGGTCTCAATCTCTTGACCTTGTAATCCGCCCGCCTCGGCCTCCCAAAGTGCTGGGATTACAGGCGTAAGCCTCCGCGCCCGGCCTCTATCATCTTTTATAGCACTAGGGCATCTAGTTTTTATATTGTTTTGAAAATACACTCTTCACCCTGACCAACATGGAGGAACCCTGTCTTTACTAAAAATACAAAATTAGTTGGGCGTGGTGGCACATGCCTTTAATTCCAGCTATTTGGCAGGCTGACGCAGTAGAATCGCTTGAACCCCAGAGGCAGAGGTGGCAGTGAGCCAAGATCACGCCATTGCACTCTAGCCTAGGCAACAAGAGCCAAACTCTGTCTCAAAAAAAAAAAAAAAAAAAAAACCAAAAAGAAAAAACTGCCTGGCGGGGTGGCTCATACCTGTAATCCCAGCACTTTGGGAGGCTTAGGTGAGCGGATCACGAGGTCAAGAGATCGAGACCATCCTGACCAACATAGTGAAACCGCATCTCTACTGAAAAAAAAAAGTACAAAAATTATCCGGGCATGGTGGTGGGCGCTTGTAGTTCCAGCTACTCTGGAGGCTGAGGCGGAAGAATCGCTTGAACCGGGAGGCAGAGGTTCCAGTGAGCCGACATTGTGCCACTGCACTCCAGCCTCGTGTCAGAGCGAGACACCATCTCAAAAAGGAAAATACACTCATGCAGTTAAATGGTGCATAATATTTTTATTTGAATAGTGTTTGGGGTATGTTAGATAGGACTACAGCCCCAAAGTATGTTTCCTGAGGGATGTTAGTTAAGGACAGAAAAATTATATAATGCCTTCCAGGTACTTAAAGAAGCAGTTTTAAGTATATACTAGTGTCTTTACCACAAATACATATACTTTCCTTCTGGTTTATATCAGTTATTCCTGGACTGCTCACTAGTCAAGATATGGTAGGACAGAAGCTACAGACTGCTTGCTACAGTGGCCTTTGAAGCCATTGTCTCCTATATGTTGCTCTCAGTATACCTAAGTTAGTAATTAATGTTAACCCTGTACTTTTCTTCTTCAGGCTCTTCTGGTGTTTGAATACAGTGAGAAAATCATAGGTCTCTGTATTAAGTAGATTTATTCAGGGCTTATAATGCAGTTGCCATAGTAGCTGTGGCTGCTTAGGAGCTCTACCTTTTCTGTGAGAGGACAGAGAATTGCAGAAGACTGACTCTGTACTGTATTATTGTTTTTGGTTTTTTGGTTTTTTTTTTTTGTGATATAGAAAATGCAAAAGTGATATGTCTTAGTATTAATGAATTTGTCTAATTATTTCATTATACAAACTTTCTTTGGGATCATAGCACTGTGTATACAAAGATGAATAAGACACGTTCCCTGCCCTTACCAGTATCATGATGTGGTAAGGGACATAAATATGAAAATGAATCATTTAATGACAGTAAGATAAAGAACATTACAGATGTATGTATTATAGAGATCTAAAGATCAGGAATCATTTTAGCTTAGTGGTTCTCAATATGAGGTGGTACCTGCCTCTTCTAACCACACTTCATACTTCATCACCTCAGTTCCAGGAAACTTTCTGTTGTCACAGTGACTAGGACGCCACTGGTCTTTGATGGGGACGACCCGGAAGCAAAGCTCTGCAGTGCACTGAACAGCCCTGTAGGTCTGTTCTGCTACTTGTATTTTGAGCAGGAGGGGCTATTCAGTGCATCGCAGAGTTTCACTTAGTCCTGCTCAAAATACAAGTAGCATCTGGATTGAAAAACTCCTGTTTGTGTGAAGGTTTCATTGAAGAGTCAACTAATAAATATTTAAGTATCCATTTTATGCACGATCCTAGGTGCCTAGAAGCAGATATTGTCAGAAAGTAATGTGGCTTGCTGGATGTCAAAATCTTTCAAAGATCATTTGACTAAAATTTTGGTCTTGGTTAACCAAAACTGTAAATTTTGGATCCTGGTTTATTATATTTAAGAACTGTAAAATCTTAAGAGTTTCAGTAGTAGTACCACCTCCTTTTATTTTTCCTCTATTCTTCTTTCTTCTCTGTATTTTTTCCCCAAGAGAGCTGTATTGTTTATAATAATGTTACTGTGATTTTTTTAAGTACATGTATTTTCTTTTCTAGGAGAATATCGACCAGTAAAGTGACAGTTCTGGGTTATGGTCTCTTAACCACAGATGCAGAGACTTTGATAGATGCACTGAATAATCAGAAGTTCAAAGTAGTTATAGTGGATGAATCACACTACATGAAGTCCAGAAATGCAACTCGCAGCAAGATTTTATTGCCAGTAGTACAGAAAGCCAGACGAGCCATTCTTCTTACAGGAACACCAGCTTTAGGAAGGCCTGAAGAGGTATGACAGTCCTTATATTTTGAACTTAAAAGGAGAAAGGAGGCACGGGGTTATTAATGACCTGTTTTGCAATTTTTAATTTCAAATTTGCCTTAACTGCTAGAGGAGTACATTGGGAATTCCTAGATAGTGCGTATGTTTTATTATGGCTATTTTAATCTATTTACATTTAAACCTTAGCCAAGCTTGTAGGTATGTATAAAAAATAGCTTTTGCCTTTATGATAAGGCTTCCATATTTAGTACAACTTTCTAATATTCTTTACAATGTGTTCCTGTGGTCTTAATCTTCATTTATCCTGTCTATTTTACATTATAAGCTTCTTAGGATCGGGATTGAATCTACCTTATTTCTTTTATACCACATTGCAGAACTTCTGTCTGTTCTTTCACTTAAAGATTCACATTTGGGAAAGTAAAGAGAAGCTAAAGTTTATGTGCAGACCTGATAAGGTATGTGGTTAGAATGAAAGAATAAGGCAGGCATTGGATATCCCATTTAGCTTTTGCTATTCTAAGAGGTGAATAGTACATGGAGTGGTTAAAGGGTTAGGAAGAAGACATGATGGAAGAAACATGGGTAAGGTTTAGTGTTCCTTAAGGAAGCCCTGCTTACTAATGAACACTAAATCATAGAAAAAACATGGGTTGTCTTGTAGGGTTGCTGGGAGAATTAAAGGTAGTACTGCTTTGAAAGTACCTCACCGGCCGGGCGCGGTGGCTCAAGCCTGTAATCCCAGCACTTTGGGAGGCCGAGGCAGGTGGATCACGAGGTCAAGAGATCGAGACCGTCCTGGTCAACATGGTGAAACCCCGTCTCTACTAAAAAAATACAAAAAATTAGCTGGGCATGGTGGTGCATGCCTGTAATCCCAGCTACTCAGGAGGCTGAGGCAGGAGAATTGCCTGAACCCAGGGGGTGGAGGTTGCGGTGAGCCGAGATCGCGCCATTGCACTCCAGCCTGGGTAACACGAGTGAAACTCCGTCTCAAAAAAAAAAAAAGAAAGTACCTCACCATGTGCCTTGTAACACTCAACATGTGGTAGCCAGTCTTATATTAATTTTTGAGCCAAGCCTGGGTGACAGCTATTAATTATCATTACCTGTCTAACAGTATTACCTTAGCTCTGCTTTTCAATTCTGTCCTGGAAATCTTGTGAGAAACATATAATAGTACATAGACAGTGATGATAAATTTTACCTTTTACAGTTTTTACTCTTGGATACCAACTGACAGTGGGGGAGAGTAGCCCCAAGTAATTTACATATGTCCCAAAATTATGTCATTGAATGATAGGGGTGATTATATTCTTTTTGCGGGTGGGGGACAGAGTTTCACTCTTGTCCAGGCTGGAGTGCAATAGCACAATCTCAGCTCACCTCAACCCCCACTTCCCAGGTTCAAGCGATTCTCTTGCCTCAGCCTCCCTAGTTAGCTGGGATTACAGCCTTGCGCCACCATGACTGGCTAATTCTGTATTTTTAGTAGAGACGGGGTTTCACCATGTTAGTTAGGCTGGACTCAAACTCCCAACCTCAGGTGATCCACCTGCCTCAGCCTCCCAAAGTGCTGAGATTACAGGCATGAGCCACCGTGCCCAGCCTTGATTATATCCTTTAAAAAGACATTGTAAAATGTATTCTTCAAGCTAGTATGCTGGATGCAGTAGCTCATGCCTGTAATCCCAGCACTTTGGGAAGCCAAGGTGAGCAGATCACTTGAGGCCAGGAGTTCAAGACCAGCCTGGCCAACATGGTGAAACCCCATCTCTACTAAAAATACAAAAATTAGCCAGGCATGGTGGCCGGGGCCTGTAGTTCCAGCTATTCAGGAGGTTGAGGCAGGAGAATCACTGGAACCCAGGAGGCGGAGGTTGCAGTGAGCCAAGATCTCACTATTGCACTAGCCATTGCACTCCAGCCTGGGCTACAGAGTGAGACTCCGTGAAAGAAAGTAAGAAAGCAGGAGGGAGGGAGGGAGGGAGGGAGGCAGGCAGGCACACAGGCAGCAGGCAGGCAGGCAAGCAAAAGATACATCTTGAATGATAATAATACAGTGAATACTCATCTGCTTATTATCAAGCATAAGATATAGAACATTGACAATACAACAGTGGCTCTTACAGCTCACTCTTACCACATTAGTACTTTTCACCCCTCACCTATGGTAGCCGCTATTCATTGCAAGGGTAAATCCCAATTTTGTGGGTCCTGATGATTGTGCAATTTGTGTTTGGGATTTTTTATTTTTTATTTGTTCATTTTATTATTTCTTTTTATAATGCAGCCCCAGCTGTTGCAATGTTTGGGATTTTTTTAAGAAAAGGAATATAAAAATACAAATTCTAACTTAGGAGTTTTGAAATAAGGAAGTATGAGTTCTCTAATTTTGTTTTTCTTTCTTTTTTTTTTTTTTCTTTTTAGAGTCAGAGTCTCTTTCTGTTGCCCAGGCTAGAGTGCAGTGGCACAATCTCAGCTCACTGCAACCTCAGGTCCAAGCAATTTTCCTGCTTCAACCTCCCTAGTAGCTAGGATTACAAGCGTATGCCACCATGCCCAGCTAATTATTGTATTTTTAGTAGAGATGGGGTTTACCATGTTGGCCAGGTTCGTCTTGAACTCCTGACCTCAGGTGATCTGCCCACCTTGGCCTCCCAAAGTGCTGGGATTGCAGACATGAGCCACTGCACTCGACCTTGTTTTTCTTCCCTTTTTTTAAAATTAATTATTTATTTATTTTTATTGTACTTTAGCTTCTGGGGTACATGTGCAGGTCATGCAGGATTGTTGCATAGGTATATACATGGCAAGATGGTTTGCTGCCTCCGTCCCCCCATCACCTATATCTGGCATTTCTCCCCATGTTATCTTTCCCAAACCTACCCACCCCCAACAGACACCAGTGTGTGATGTTCCCCTCCCTGTGCTCATGTGTTATCATTGTTCAATACCCACCTCTGAACGAGAACATGCAGTATTTGGTTTTCTGTTCTTGTGTCATTTTGCTGAAAATAATGGTTTCCAGATTCATCTATGTCCCTGCAAAGGACACGACTCAGCATTTTTATGGCTGCATAATATTCCATGGTATATATGTGCCACATTGTCTTTCCCCACTGTCTCATTGATGGGCATTTGGGTTGCTTCCAGGTCTTTGCTATGCTGAACAGTGCCTCAGTGAGCATACGTGTGCATGTGTCTTTATAATAGAATGATTTATAATCCTTTGGGCATATACCCAGTAATTGGATTGCTGGGTCAAATGGAATTTCTATTTCTAAATCCTTGAGGAATTGCCACACTGTCTTCCATAATGGTTGAACTAATTTACACTCCCACTAACAATGTAAAAGTGTTCCTATTTCTCCACATCCTCTCCAGCATCTGTTGTCTCCTCATTTTTTAATGATCATCATTCTAACTGGAGTGAGATGATATCTCAATGTGGTTTTGGTTTTTCTTTTTCAAGATTAGTTTGGATAATTATGAATCCCTTAAATTTCTAGATGAATTGTTTTATCAGCTTGTTAATTTTTGCAAAGAATCAAGCTCAAATTTTTGTATGTATTGTGTTGAATTCATAGATTGCTTTGGGACTATTGCCATCTTAACAGTATTAAGTCTTCCAATCCATGAATATGAGCTATCTTTCTGTTTTTTTTAGGTCTTTAATTTTTTTCCAGTGGTACTTGATAGTTTTCACAGTATAAGTATTAGTTTTCACAGTATAAGTATTATGCTTTTTTTATTAAATTCATTCCTCGGTATTTTATTTTTTTATGCTTTTTAAGTGGAATTTTCTTAATTTCATTTTACATTGTTTATTGCAAACTGTAGAAATACAGTTGGTTTTTGTGCATTTATTATGTATCTTGCAAACTTGCTGAATACAATTGTTAGCTTTAATACTATGTTAGTGAATTCCTTAGGATTTTCTGTATATAGGATTATGTCACCTGCAAATAGAAACAATTTTACTTCTTCCTTTTTTACTCTTGATGACCTTTATTTTGGTTTTTTGTTTGTTTGTGTTTTGAGATGGAGTCTCCCTCTGTCGCCCAGGCTGAAGTGCAATGGCAAGATCTCGGCTTACTGCAACCTCTGCCTCCCTGGTACAAGCGATTCTCCTGCCTCAGCCTTCCAGTAGCTGGGATTATAGATGCCCACCACCACACCCAGCTAATTTTTGTACTTTTAGTAGAGATGAGCTTCCACCATATTGGCCAAGCTAGTCTCGAACTCCTGACCTCGTGATCCACCCACCTCAGCCTCCCAAAGTGTTGAGATTACAGGCGTGAGCCACTGCGCCTGGCCGTATTTTGTTTTCTTACCTGTTCGCCCTAGAACCATGTTGAATTGGAATGGCAAGAATGGGCATCCTTTTTTTGTTCTTCATCTTAGTGGGAAAGCATTCAGCCTTTCACTTTTAAGTATAATGCTACTTGTGGGATTTTCCTAGATTTTCTTTATCAGATTGAGGAAGTTCCTTTCTATTTTTGGTATATTGATTACTTAATCATGAATAGATATGGAATTTCATCCCATGCTTTTTCTGCATCAATGGGTATATTCATGTGTTTTTTTTGTCCTTTATTCCGTTGTTACAGTATATTACAGTAATTAATTTTGGAATGTTAAAATAACCCTGCATTTCTGCAGTAAGTCTCACTTGGTCATGCTATATAATCTTTTATACATGTTGCTTGCTGGATTTAGTTTGCTAATTAATATTATGTTGATGATTATTATTTCTACATTCATAAGAGATATTGGCCTGTATTTTTCTTTTCTCATGATGTATTTGTGTGGTTTGGGTATCAAGTTAAGACTGGCCTCATATAATGACTTGGAAAGTGTTTCTTTCTTTGGAAGGGTCTGTGAAACATTAACGTTACTTTAAAAAAAAAAAAAGGTTGCTAGAATTCAGTGGTGAAGCTATGTTGGCCTGGGCTTTTCTTTGTGGGTAGTTTTTTTATTACAGTAGTCTCCCTTTATCCACAGTTTCGCTTTCCGTGGTTTCAGTTACCCTGGTCAACTATAGTCTAAAAATAGCTGAGGATAGTATAAGATATTTTGAGAGAGAGAGACAGAGAGACCACATTCATATGACTTTTGTTACATTTTTATGATAGTTGTATTTTATTATCCATTATTAATATCTTTCTGTGCCTAATTTGTCAATTAAATTAAACTTTATAATAGGTATGTATGTACAGTATAAGAAAAAGCATAGTATATTTAGGGTTGGGTACTATCTGTGGTTTCAGGGACCCACTGGGGGTCTTTGGTACATGTCCCCTGTAGATAAGGGGGCACTACTCTACTAATTCAATCTCTTCACTGAGTACATATCTATTCAAATTGTTTTTTTTTTTTTTTCTTGAGTCAGTTTTAGTACTTTGTGTCTTTCTAGGAATTTGATGATTTCATCTGAGTTATCTAATTTGTTGGCAAACAGCTGTTCAAAGTATTCCCTTATTATTATTTGTGTTTCTGTGAAGTGGTTGTATTGTCCCCTCTTTCATTCCTGATTTGAGTAATTTGAGTCTTTGAGTCTTTTCTCTTGTTTTCATGGTTGGCCTAGCTAAAGTTTTATCAGTAATGTTGATTTTTCCAAGAATCAATTTTTGGTTTCATTGATTTACTGTATTGTTTTTGTTTTCTATTTCATTTATTTCCATTCTAATCTTTCTTTTTTTGAGATGGAGTCTTGCTCTGTCACCCAGGCTGGAGTGCAGTGTCATGATCTTGGCTGACAGTAATCACCACCTCTCAAGTTCAAGCAATTCTCCTGCCACAGCCTTCCCAGTAGCTGGGATTACAGGCATGTGCTACCATGTTCATCACATTTTCGTATTTTTGGTAGAGACAGGATTTCACCATGTTGGCCAAGCTGGCCTGGAACTCCTGGCCTCAAGTGATTCGCCCATCTTAGCCTCCCAAAGAGCTGGGATTATAGGTTTGAGCCACTGCTGCTGGCCTGTTTCCACTCTAATCTTTATTGTGACCTTCTTTTGCTGTGGGTTGTTTGATGTTCCTCTTTCAGTGTGTTAAGGTGGAAAATTAGGTTATTGATTTGAGTTCTTCTTGTTTAACATAGGAATATGCACCTACTCATTTCCTTCTAAGCACTATTTTTGCTGCAACTCGTGCTTTGGTATGTTGTGTTCTCAGTTTTCCTTATCTCAAAGTGTTTTCTAATTTCCTTTGTGATTTCTTCTTTGGTCCATTGGTTATTTCTGAATATGTTGTCATATTAAATGGATATAAAACACTGAATTCACTTTAGAAAAATGTAAGTTACTTAAAACGTTACTGTATGACCCAACAATTTCATTCTTAGGTATATACCCAAGAAAACTAAAAACAAATTCTCACCAAAAATTACATACTCATGTGCAAGGTTACATAGTAGCATTATTCATGATATTTCAAAAAGTGGAAACAAGTAAAATGTTCATCAGTTGGTGAATATATAAACAAATATGATATAACCATACAATGGAATATTATTTAGCCATAACGAGGAATGAAATACTATACATGCTACAACGTGAATTAACTTTGAAAGCAGTATTCTGGGTGAAATAATCCAGATACAAAAGGCTACATAATGTATGAGTCTATTTATATGAAATGCCCAGAATAGGCAAATTCATAGAGACAGAAAGTGGATTAGTAGTTGGCCAGGATCGGAAGCAAGGAGAACTAGTCGTGACTACTAATGGGTATGGGGCTTTTTTGGGGGGGGGTGATAAAAATATTACAGAATTAGATAGTAATGAATGGTGCACAACTATGTGAATCTGGGTATGGAGCTTTTTTGGGGGGTGATTAAAGTATTACAGAATTAGATAATGATGTTTGGTGCACAACTATGTGAATCTATTGAAAGCCACTGAATTCTGTTTTTTAAAAGTTTGGTATATGAATTCTATATCACAATAAAACTGTTGGTTTTTAAAAGTATATTAAAATAACAATGAGACAGTACTGTGTACAGCCTACCAGAGTTGTAAAAAATGAGAAGATTGCATGATACTATTGATGGGAGTGTAAATTGGGACAGTCTTCTTACTGGGCAACATGGTAACATTATCAAACTTTTAAAAAGCATATACCTTAAAAATCAACTATTTCATTTCTAAATATACATACTACATCACCTCTAATAGAAATACAAATGGATGGATGGATAGATAGATGATTAATAGATATAAATATAAATATATATACTACACCCATATATTCACATATATATGCACACAATTATATGAAGTTATTAATATTAGTAACTGCCTAAAACCTAGAAATAGCCTATATGTCCAATATCAGGAGTCTGTTTAAATATTTTACAATACATCTACATAATAATAATGGGTAGCTATTTAGTTTTTAAATAGTGCATTGTTATTATATTGCTTTTATAGGTATTTAAAACTAAAAATAGATATATCTGATTTTAAAAGTATCTGAGACGTGTTATGGGACAAAATTCTAGTTGTGTGACTATGTATTATTCTGCAGTTTGCTTTCTTCATCTAGTATATATGTGTATAAAAGCATAAACATATGCTTATATCCGCATAGAAAAATGTATAAATGCGCCAGGCTTACGCCTGTAATTCCAGCTCTTTGGGAGACCAAGGTGGGCGCATCATGAGTTCAGGAGTTTGAGACCAGCCTGACCAACATAGTGAAATCCTGTCTCTACTAAAAATGCAAAAATTAGCTGGGCATGGTGTCGCATGCCTATAGTCCCAGCTACTTGGGAGGCTGAGGCAGGAGAATCACTTGAACCTGGGAGGCAGAGGTTGCAGTGAGCCAAGATGAGACCACTGCATTCCAGTGTGGTGTCAGAGCGAGACTCCATCTCAAAAAAAAAAAAAAGAAAGAAAAGGAAAAAGAAAAATATGTAAATGTATATTTATAAAACAGACAATGGTTATTCCTGATAAATAGAAGGGAGGGGACTTGAGGAATAAAGAGTTGGATTTTCTTTTATACTTCCTACTATTTTGTTAAATGGTTTTATTATTGTAATAATAATTTACTTGAAAATATTACAACATATTAAAAACACTTCTCTTATTATAGCTTTTCATGCAGATCGAAGCTCTCTTTCCACAAAAATTTGGAAGATGGACCGACTATGCAAAAAGATATTGTAATGCACACATCAGGTAAGACAAAACTATTTTCCATAAACTTTTTCCTCACATATTAACTGTGAGCATTGCTTTATTAGTCATTCTTTATCCCAGTGTTTTACAATTAGTGGTAGCTATGAAATAATTGGTGCATTATTATACATATAGGTGGATGACCTATATGTAAAATAAATAAAAGTAATAGATAATGGCAAAGTTTGCCTTTATTCTTATTTTTTACTTTCTACTTTTTATTGTTGAAATTATTTATTTTTATTGGCTAGATTTACATGTACAATATACAAAAGTAAAAAGTAAGGTGTTTCTTCTACTCTTGTCTCTCAGCAAACCATTTCCCTTCCCATATAACCAATGTTGGCACTTTATTTTGAATCCTTTTGAAAATACCCTTTGGGTGAACAAGGATGTATGATTATATGTATATAATATTTCATTTTATTTCAACATATGTAGCACAATTTGTGCATTATTCTGCAGTTCACTTTCTTCATCTAGTATATGTTGTAGATCTTTCCATATCAGTTAAGAGCTTTGATATTCATTTTATTTTCTTTTCTCTTATTTTTTTGACACAGAGTCTTGCTCTATTGCTCAGGCTGAATGGAGTGCAGTGGCTCAATCTCGGCTCACTGCAACCTCTGCCTCCTGTGTTCAAGCAATTTTCCTGCCTCAGCCTCCCGAGTAGCTGGGATTACAGACATGTACCACCATACCCGGCTAATTTTTGTTGTTTTTACTGGAGACGAGATTTCACCATGTTGGCCAGGCTGGTCTCGAGCTCCTGACCTCAGGTGATCCGCCCGCCTCGGCCTCCCAAAGTGCTGGGATTACAGGCATGAGCCACCACACCCAATCTGATACTCATTTTAAATGCTGCATATATTCTACCGTTTAGAATTTATTTATGCCATCCACTCTTAGTGGACATTTGTGGTATATAGCTATGCATGCAATGCAGCAATGAGTATCTTTGCACATGTAGAGAGGTAGTTTTTTATAGTTGTCAAGAGCATGGAAATTTAGAACTAGACTACCTGTGATTTATTTTCACACCTACCACTTACCAAATGCTTCATTTTAGAAAAGTAACTACCTCCCCATACCTCAGTTTCTTCAGCTCAAAAAAAATGGCAAATTATTATGCCTGCCTTGGAGAGTTCCTATGAGATGTATATTAACTAATATTTATAAAGTGCTTGAATGGTAACCATACATAGGGGGTACTCAATAATTGTTAGCTATTTTAGTATTTCATGCCATATGCATAGGGGGAAAAAATCTAAGATAAAGTTACAGAAGTGATATTGCTAATTTAAAGGGCATGTGCATTTTTATATTATTAGATTTTTCCAAATCATGCTCCACAGAAAGTATAGCTTTTTATATTCCCACCAGCCATGTGTCAGATTGTTTCTTTTCCATACCTTTCCAACATAATGAAATATAACTTATTTCATTATTGCCAATGTGAACTGATAGTAGCTTTAATTCACATTTGCCCATTATGTCATTAAATGCATTTGAGCATTTTTTTTTCACACGTATGAGTTATTTGTACTTTTTTTCTGTCAGTTGTCTGCATGTGCTATTTGCCCTTCTGTTTACTAAATGTACTGACTTTTTCCTTAGTATATTGAAAACCTTTATATATTACAAAAATAATCTCTTTGTATGTGGTATGAGTCTCTCATTTATTTTTCCCAATGCATTCTTTTTTATAATTCCTTTAAATAAAACCACACGGTCATGGTTTTCTGATGCTTTTTAAAGGGCTCCAGAGTACAAAGATATAAAGACTTACTCAAAATTGTTTCTATGAAGTCAGTCTAACACTGATACCAAAATCAGACAAGACAGCACAGAAAATGAAAACAAGAGACTATAAATGCAGAAATCCTCAATATTAATAGATTAATGGAATCTGGAAACTCATTAAAACCCTAATGTATTGATTATATGCAAATGGCATTCACATTAGGAATTCAAGGAATGTTTAATATTAAGAAATACATCAATGTAATTTGCCACATTAATAATGACAAAGAGAAACGGCATCATCTCTATATGTACTGGGAAGTCCTTAGGTAAAATATAGCATTTACCACTCCCCCACTTTTTTTTTTTTTTTTGAGATGGAGTCTCACTCTGTTGCCCAGGCTGGAGTGCAGTGGCACAATCATGGCTCACTGCAATCTCTGCCTCCCGGGTTCAAGCAGCTCTACTGCCTCAGCCTCAGTGTAGCTGGTACCACAGGTGTGCACCACCATGCCCTGCTAGTGTGTGTGTGTGGGGGGGGGGGGGTTTAGTATAGATAGGGTTTCACCATGTTGGCCAGGCTGGTCTCGAACTTCTGACTTCAAATGATCCACCTGCCTCGGCTGCCCAAAGTGCTGGGATTACAGCCATGAGCCACCATGCCTGGCCAACATTTACCCTTGATTACAGTTTTGAATAAATTTAGGGTATGTATGTGTATGTGTAGTTTTACATATGTATGTTTATATATGTTTATGTGTGTCTTTCAATTCCAAAACAATTACCAGAGCTTACCTTTTACTCTGGAGGACTGATCAGTTCAGTTACTCAAAAGAAAAATAAGAGGATATGAGGCTAATTTCATCAGGAAAAAAAATTTTTAATTAAAAAAAGAAAAAAAAAAAAAAAAGACAGGCACAGTGACTCACACCTGTAATCCCAGCACTTCGTGAGGCTGAGTTAGGAGGGTCACTTGAGCCTAGGAGTTTGATACCAGCCTGGTAAACATAGTGAGACCCCATCTCTATTAAAAGTGATAAAAGTTTTCAAGAAAAACAAAATTATCGTTTTCTACAGCTGATGTTATTTATTTGGAAGACTGAGAATCAGCTGAAAAGTGTTCAAAACAAAATAGAATAGATTAAAATAGCCTAGCACAAAGGTAATATTAAAAAGTCAGTTGTCTTTCTCTACATAAATAATAAGTAGTTCTAAAATACAATGAAAATAAAAGATAGTAGAAAACTCAAGAATATTAGTGAAGGAGATTTAAAAAGATAAATAAAAAGACATGCTCCTGGCCAGGCGCGGTGGCTCAAGCCTGTAATCCCAGCACTTTGGGAGGCCGAGGCGAGTGGATCACGAGGTCAAGAGATCGAGACCATCCTGGTCAACATGGTGAAACCCCGTCTCTACTAAAAATACAAAAAATTAGCTGGGCATGGTGGCACGTGCCTGTAATCCCAGCTACTCAGGAGGCTGAGGCAGGAGAATTGCCTGAACCCAGG